TGATTCCTAGCAGCCACATTTTTGAAATTGTTGTCATGGCTTTCATGAAATGCACTGCAAGATGAAAATTGTATCATGCAAAACATAGTACAAAATTTGAAAAAAGGCTTGCTAGGAAATGTTTTCCTTGACTTCGTCTGTCCAAAACTGCAAACATCACAGTCGCACGACAATCCGTTGTTGAGTTCTATTCGTTTGAAATTTTGATTTTGCAATATGTTTGTCTCAATTGCTCAGTATATGTGGATTGCAGAACAACGGTAACCACTCTGTGATGACGAGGTTAACGTCTTTCATAAGATATCCAAAAATGAAGGCAATCGAAGCAACGATGCTCTAGATATTTACGAAAAACGTTTCTCATAGCGTTACGCGTGAAACGCACCCTTAACTTCGTAAAACATTTAAAAATCATGGCTCATTTGGAATGGGTCTGGCCCATGTTAAAGGTAGTGTGCCACCTTTGAAAGATTTCCCATTTTATTTTTCCTAGGATAAGAAGCTTCTGTTTTTACCTAATATCGCAAAAAAAAATCAAAAATGGGCCTGGAATAGTGCCTTTTTCGCCTAAAAGTTTATCGGTTTTTCGATATGTATAACAACTGTAGTGGGCTGGCCTGCAAACAGGCGTCGGCAACAATCGCGAATGCGGCGCACATGTGACAATAAGCAAAGGTCATTATAGAGTTACGACGTACGGGAATGAGTTATCAGCTGTCTAATCGTAGACAACACAATGTCGAGCCTTAAACTGTAAGCCTGTATTGTTATTGTTTCTTTTATTTGGCTGTCAAACATTAATTTATGGTTTGAAATATTATTTTATGTAAAATAATTGATATGAAACAGCCGTCTCTAAAGTTATGACCCCATCTCACCACATGAAAGTGGCAGAAATGACAATGATCAGCTGACGCATTTTTCTTGGCCGAAGTCAGAGCGCGCGGCCCGACGCACCACCACCGCACCACAAAGTATGAGCAGAAGCCGCGCCCAAAGCCAGGGCTCCGGTAACGTGAGGTAGCCGAGTCGGGGCAGCGTGCGCTGACCCAAGCCGGGGCCGCGGCTTTGGGCGCGGTCTACCGCATCCCCGCGGGCAGCCCCGGGCTATCACATGACACCGGGAGGACGCGCGGCCCCGGCTTGGGTCAGCGCACGCTGCCCCGACTCGGCTACCTCACGTTACCGGGGCCCTGGCTTTGGGCGCGGTCTACCGCACCACCTAACAGGCGTGTTCGAAACCGCAGGAGATGATGATGAACGGGTTTATCGAAACTTGATTGGATGAGCCTGTCGGTAATAGCGATTTCAGTGTGTGCATTTATTGTTCATAGTGGTGTGAAATGTGGTTGGGGTACGACCGACAACCCGTCGGGGCGAATTTCGCACTGGGGTACTCAAAATTTGAAGAATTTAAGACGTTTCCATGAGTTTTGAAGGTATGGATAAGTTCTAAAAATCCGGTTCTCCTTATCTGGGCCATTAACTCCATATGGTCCAGGAAAGCTGGCACACTACCTTTAAACCCCATTTCCCACACTTTTTTTGGAAAAAATGAACTACTGAATATATAAGTTTAACTTTTATTTTGACACTCCAAAATTCTTCTCTGATCTCGAAACAATCAAAGTTTTGACATATATTTGCCAAAAGATAAGAAAATTCATGTTTCAAAGTTATCGATAAACAGTAGAGATGTCGGTTTTCTTGGACTAAAAAAATGGCATCAAACTGAACTTTGGTCTCCGATTTCTCGCAAACGGGTTCGAATTTCGGAAAACCGACTTCAGTCTGGGACATAGGTGGCTCAGCTCTAGTGAAAACCGTTTTGTGAAAAAATGGTGGCAGTCTACCTTTAAGGACTAAGGTCCTAACCTAGCTCCCACATCATAGCTTTAATTTGACCGGCAAAAGCAGATGTTTTACAAAAAGGTGTAATGGATGCCAATTATAATATGCCTGGTACCTACATCTCAGTGTGATGATGGCCTGAGGGCTGTTCGGGTCCCTGCAGCATAGATCTGTGCTGCGTGCGTCATACTTGGGTGACGTCAACCGCCTGGCTCCGCCCACTCTCCGCCGGCACGCCGCGGCTGAGCTCGCTGCAGCCTACTTCAAACGCGGAGGACCGTTGCGCGGGTGGACTGGTGATTGTCGCTCAAATAACGGTTAAATTGTGTTTAAATGTGGTTAATAGCAATGTGCCACCAAAAAGAGTGATAATGATACCCAAAAAACAGCATACAAACTGCTTACAATAAGAAATATTGGACGGTAAACTTTAATCCGCGCCACTTTCGCCTCCTGCAGCACCGAATTTTGTGCTGCAGGAAAACAAAGTATGCTTCAGTAGGTGACGTCACACAGGCGGTGACGCAGTGCTGTGGGCCGGACTAACGGGCGATGCAGTCCTCACTGCGCATGCGTGCTGCAGCATATTTCATTTTGGCTGCGCAGCCGAACAGCCCTCTGGACCTATCTGCTGTCTTTGCACAACACTCTGACTGATTTAGCTCACCTTGAGCTCTTGCTAGTTAGTTTGAGTTGTTCGTAAGTTTGGCATATCATCTAGTTTACATGATAAAGCTGACATTAAATAAAGGCTACAATGACAAGATATATTTTAATATCACACTTAAATATGAAGTTGAAAAATAACAGAATCAGGCTTACCTAATTGAATGGCGTGCTTCCAGTGGCGAAAATGAAAAAGGCAGGACACAGCTGTAGGTATTCTGTATACCCTTTAATTCACAACAAAAAAGCTACGTCAATTCTTATCAAGCACATGAGACGACTACGAAAAATCTTACGGAAATTCAATAATCGCTTGCAACAACCAAACAGCACATCAACATCACATGTAAACTCCTGAAACACGCTTCTTCTCTCTTTTGACTTCGCGAGCTTTGAAAAGTAAACCACCACCCTGTTCAAGGTTTTCACTAATGCTCTTCTGCAGAAAGTATATGGACACATTTGTGATGGATATGGTAGCATTACGTCAATGATAACGAAGGTTTTACTGTAAAAGTAAAAAATAAATAAATGACGCACAAATTTTCCACTTTTCATGCCTCGCTTGATAACTAAAAGACAATCGCTATTGAGATTTGAGTGATCCTAAAATAGTACATCTCAAAATTTGCCTAATTGCCTTACCTGACCTAGGCTATGATCGCCTAGGGTCAGGTAAGACAATTGGGCGAATTTTGAGATGTAGGTAGGTACAATTTTAGGAATTAGGATCTATTGAATCACTTGGGTTGGCTGGACCTGGAGGCTCGCACTCGTCGAGCCATTGACTGCGCCTGCTTGGCTTACTTTAAGGATACGCTTCACCGAGCTGCTGACCGAAAAGATCGATTCCTAGTCGTTTCGATGTGCAGCGGCGCGGGTGGCGGGGCGCAGTCCAGTACCTGGCTTCCTTCACTCCACCACCAGACGCCGTGACGGCCGGACGGTCCATCCTAGTCCACATTGGATCTCCTCGGTCCAAAGACGGTCCAGATCGGTCCACCTACCTAGGTCCACCTCAGTCCACACACGGTCCACCTGGGTTCAAACGGTTCATCTCGATATCGTCCTTATCCATCCACAGCGGTCCACGTACAAGCCACCTCGGTCCAAACGGTCCACACAGTCCGATCAGTCTGCCCGGGGCCAGGCAGTCCATCTCGATAAACCTTGATCAGGATATCATCTACAATACGTCAGTCCACAAATTGTCCATATATTCTCCACATCGGTCCACATATCGTCCACATCGGTCCACCCTCCAATCTCCTGGATCCTCCTCAGCACCATGCTTTTACACACCGCCCTTTTGACGCTCCTGACGGCTGTGGCAGCCTCTGCTGCCAGCTGGATCCAATTCGGTCGCTCCAACCGCACCCAAAGCCTGGCGGGCAGTGTGGAGGTGACAGCCATCTCTGTTGTCGGCTGCGCCCTTCGTTGCTCACTCACCAGGACGCTGCCCTGTGGTGGGTTTACCTTCCGACCTGGCGGCACGTGTGTGCTTCACGTGGGTACCGCCCAGGGAATGTGTGTCAGGAGCGCAGGGAGTCCGCCCATGGAGACTGCAGCCGGGGAGGAGGGCGAGGCGGGGCACGTCATCCTGGTCAGTTCGGCCTGCTCAGGTATGTAGTGAGGCATATGGAGACTGGAGAGCGAGGGAGGGAGAGACAGAGAGAGAGAGAGAGAGAGAGAGAGAGAGAGAGAGAGAGAGAGCGAGAGAGAGAGAGAGAGAGAAAGAGAGAGCTAGAGAGGGATAGAGAGAGGAAGGGAAAGGGAGATAGAGAGAGAGAGAGGAGAGAGGGAGGAGAGAGAGAAAGAGAGAGAGAGAGAGAGAGAGAGAGAGAGAGAGAGAGAGAGAGAGAGAGAGAGAGAGAGAGAAGAGAGAGAGAGAAAGTGCACAGGACGCTGGTATCCGTAGATGTACAGTCCACAGCAGAAGTAATGTGTGGTTTCAGTCATGGGTATGTTCTGCTTCTGAAGCCTAGGAACGATGTCCATACTGCAACGAGACTTTAAATGTAGCTTACATGTATCTTCACCCTTGCAGCTACAACTTTATCTATTGACGTCTTCTTTTCAATCAGTCCGCATTTAAAAATCGTCGGTCAAAGCCATCCGTTGAGATTGGTAAAACCACACATTACTTTAGCGGTGGGCTGTACCTGTATAGTGTTGGGCGGTCTGATCAGGACGGTGACTTTTCTTAGTCCCTGATGTGATCTTTAGTGATGTCTCAGAACGGCTGACGGTAGGTATGTTCATGGATGAAGGAATACCATGGATTCTTTTCGACCATGGTATGTCGATATATCGGGGAAAATGGCTCTGACGCCCAGGCAGCGCAGTCAGAGGCGGTGCATGAATCGAGGGACCATAACAAGATATAAGTCGGCATCTACATTATACACTAATTGCATTGCGTAGTTGTATCGATAGACGGTATGCTATTTGACTATTTATCTTTTTTCTGCCGATAGTACTGCCGACGCTCAGCAGCGGATTGATTGTGGAAACGGACAGCGACTTCTCTGGGGAATTCTCAATGGTGGACTGCAACCATCGAAACTCAGACTACTACAACAACATGATGGTCGGCATTCAGGATAACGATGGCTTTGTGGTAAGAAATAACGACTTCTGCATATGATTGCACCCGACGTTATTTCACTGATATTCGTTTCTGGCATCCAAAGTGTTGTTTCTGAGATCGAATGCTCCTGATTCGGCGATCCAAGCGAGAGAGCGAAGCGTTGATGATAAGAACATGCATCTATGAATAGATATAAATAACTGCCTACGAATTAGCAACGGCACATAATGGCACTCGTCATGAAAGCTCCATGGGATGGTCTCCTGTCTCTCCTGTTACAATGTCTGTCGTCATTGCAGCGGCTTACGGCTAATGCTAGTTGTCATTACGGCTTTGGTCGAAGTTTTTTAAAGCCTGTCTTAAAGGGACTATCCCACCTTCTAAAATGTTGTTAAAACCAGTTAAATTGTGCCCGACTTTATAGATTGGATGACCAGGAACACGGTTCTGGCATTTATTTTTCATCAAACATCTTAGGCTTCCCATATTCCAAACACAAACTTTCAAATATGTGACGTCACAGCCCAAAATTACCTCCTTCCCCAGGCCACATTACTGTCATAAAGCTGATTCTTTTTACTCTGTAGGCACCACAACAAAGTTCAGACCAAGTTTTAAGCGATTTTTCAACGAACAAACCCATTTAAATCAGAATGACTAAACGAGGTGACGTCACACTAACGGCCGCTCCATGTTGAAGATAGGGCCTTGCGCAAGGCCCATATTCAAATGAAGGGAACGAATTTCTTCAACACCAAGAGGCCGCAGGGGTTGCAACCTAGATAGATAGTGGTTTCTGAACCTCGCCGCAAACTTGGCTATCTCAACTCAAACCCCATGTTAAAGGTGGGATAGTCCCTTTAACGCTTTATAAATCGCCTTAATGAAAAGCGCATGTGCCATGTGAAGCTGCAATGTCTTCAAGACTTGCCAGCAGAATATATCATCTTACTCTTTATTTTGATTCTTGACGTTTTGGTCATTCCCAGGGTCATTCCTACTGTTCGTATCGCGCCGTATTTAGTTGTACACGGAAAGTGTATTATTATTATTACGGAAAGTGTATACAAGCTTAAAATCCGACATAATATGTAATCCGAGTCCGACTATGTATAAAGGCCGGCGGACGAAATAGCTTGCCTATGTGCCTACCGCCAATAACCTCGATTGGGTTTCGGCAGGATCTCGACACCATAAAGTGCGCGTCCTTCGCCAACATTATGGTTGGACCGGACCATATTGTCACCATCACAGCGCAGACGGTAAGAGTAAAGAAATACCGTCAGCAACGTTTTTTAAACTGCTGAGGGCGAATGAAGGACTAAGGATAAGGAGGTGGCGAATGGCATTAAGTTATATATTCCGAATAAAAGATCGTCTCATTTTTGCATATTCATGCGATCCAGAAAAGCAGTCTCGGACGCTGCGAGGAGCATGCCCCCGAGAGTTTCTTGAAATTCCAAGAAAAAAACTTATCGGATTTTCCTTCCTTATGCACTACTGTGTAGTTTAACATACTCGTTTTGAAACTTGTTTAGTAGGTATTCTTTCATTTTCTAAAAAAAGGGCAAATTTTCATCGATTTCGGGCGCTGCGAGAGGGGCATCGATGCCACCCCTTGGATCTGCCAAGTGCATTCATGCTTTAACTAGTAAGAGTAATAATGTCACTCTCATCTAAAACAGCTTTTTAGAAGCTTTCCGCATTGCGTCTTCAGCGGTTTTGGGGATTTATAATTGCCGGCAGACATTTTACAAACAAAAGTATCATTGTGTTTGCACCTCCAACGTCATCCCCCGCTCCTCAGGATGTGTTCCAAAACTGCGGCGCCAACCAAGTGATCACGGGGCTCGGCTCGTCGACCTACTACACACAAGACGTCATCCGAATGACGTGTAGCGACGTCAGCGGTACCTCTGTGTCTGACAACTGCACTGACTTGACCATCACGGAGGAGATGCAGAGTGGCGAGCTGGACCCTCAGCTCACGTAAGTGCGCAGAGAGCGGATGGAAATGCCCTTCCCAGGCATAGGCGGCGGAACGAGCTGGGGGCACCGGGGCACCGTGCCCCCTTTGATTTTGGCATTTTAACATTAGCCCTATGGGCGTTGCATGGTAAGATCGGGACCAAAAGTCGGTGCAGTGCCCCTCCCCTTAAAATTAAAGGCGCTTCGCCGCCACTGTTCCCAGGAGAAATACCCCATGCCTCGGCTCCCTGGGAAAACGCCCTACCCCAGAGTTACACTGGAAAAACTCCCCACCGGCGGCACGGCGTGACGTTCCTTTTCTGTAGAAACACCCTGTATTTGTGTAAAGTAGATGGAAAAAGCCGGTCATTTTTGTTAGTCAACGCATGAATACCTGCACAAAAAAGTAGTACAGCTTATATTGCTTCTGTAGTTTTGCACTTTTTCCCAATTTGATCAAGTTCTGCTTTGGGTATGTCGACCATTTTTAAATTTAGTTTTGATTTTTTTTCTCAAAATTCACTTTATAGTGTAAACCATTACAGTTAACTCAGGCGTGAGTTGGTTAGCTGACCGGTATCGTTCGATACTCGTACGGAATAGTAGGTACCTGAAATGTCCGCTATGCGATTATGATATTTCACGTTTTATTAGGTATAATTCTCGCACATGGGCAGGGCGCCATCGTCTGTGGCCCTGTAAGGTTTACATATATGTTACAACTTACAAGAGTATGAGAAATCCGTTAGTTTGCAACGACGAAATCCGTTAGTTTGCAACGACCCTAGGGTCGTTGCAAACTAAATGACTGTCCAGGGAGTTTGCAACGACCCTAGGGTCACTACAAACTAACTGGTTGTCTAGGGAGTTTGCAACGACCCTATCTGGTTACAGGTGGCCCGTCCAGTGCCCCGATGGGACTCCCCGTATGGGCGCCATGGTGGGCATCAACTTTCGAGACGACCGGTCACCAAAGTGGACCGGCATCAGGTGCTGCTACCTGGTGTAGCCGTCGGTGCTACCTAGTGCTAACTGCTGCCTGGTGTAGCCGTCGGTGCTACCTAGTGCTAACTGCTGCCTGGTGTAGCCGTCAGTGCTACCTAGTGCTAACTGCTGCCTGGTGTAGGTAAAAGTTTTTCACCAAGTGCTTACAGCTACGTGACAGCTGTTAGTGTTGATGCTACTATATAGTACCTACTGCTACCTGGTGTAGCTGCCGGTGTTACCAGTGCTGCTACCTGGTGTAGATAGACGTTTCTGACACCTTAGTGCTAACTGCCACCTGGTGTTGGTAGAAGTTTGTGTTACCTTAATGCTAACTGCCACCTGGTGTAGCCGTTTGAGCTACCAGTACTGCTACCTAGTGTAGCCGGTGATGCTACCTAAGTGCTGCACTACCTGGTATAGCCATCTGCGCTACACGGTGCATCCGTTAGTGCTATCGATTGCTAACTGCTATCAACGAGTAGCTGTTTCTGTCTAATTTTGTTCCACATATGATAAGAGAATCTACAGTAGTACCACTTACATTGGCCGAGTGGAAATGATAAATCGCACTCATATAATTAATTCATTGAAGGCCCTCAGTTCTCACGCTTGTGTATGTGTACTCTTACCTATACACAATGTACAATGGCACATAACACGTCCAGTCGTAAGCATGATACGTGTGACCGTACCTACGCGCTTGGACGGAGCCTACGCTTGGACTGAGCCTATCACACGAAATGCCGTCTCGTGCAATTTCCTTGCGGGACGTTATGCCACTGACGTCGCTCAGATTTACTCATTGCGTCTAACAGCTTTATATGATATGCGTGTTTACAGCGAGATAGCTAGGCCTTCTTTAAGAAATGCAGCTATTTGTTCTACAAATGGTAGATGATCTTTGTGTATGTAGACGTGGATTTATCGGGCATTTAGCGTACTTTTATGACTGATGCCGTGTCTCATATTTTATTATTTAAGTCATATTTTATTATTTATGTTTCCACCTTTGGTCCAGCCAGACTGATCATGATGCCCAATTGTAACTGGCCTTGCTACCGTTCAATAAAATGTCCCCGCATTCATACTATTTTGTCGTGAATATACATGTGGAAGTGACACATGCGACAGAATATCGATGCCTGAGCGATCACTATGTTCCCAAGGAGGCCATTGTCTCAAACCACGCCGATCGGTGATCCGTGATCCGTGTGTTTTCTACCGTGTGGTCATTTCCGAACAGACGTCCGTGGACCATGTGACCGTGGCGTCGGCCCCGTGTCCTATATAATTACCGTCCCAAGGCGGTGTAGGGTAACGGTGAATCGGTGGGCTGCGGCCGTCCGGTGTTCGGGCAGGACCAGTCCTGAGCGGCTGGTCGGTCGGGCGTCCGGTGTTCGGGCAGGACCAGTCCTGAGCGGCTGGTCGGTCGGGCGCAGTATTTACCAGCGCGAGCGGGATGGGTGAAGACAAGACGGCCACTCCGCTGCTGCCCCTGACTGGACGGGTGAGTACTGAGTATATACGTGCAGTGTGCACTGCTACCCCTACATATCGGGTGAATCTGAGTATGTATGTGCAGTAGAGATGCTAATCGGATACCAACTTTTTGGTATACCGATTCCAAGTGACTACATACAGTGTCCGACACTGCCCAAGACTGTACGGACTAGTTATCCACTGCTGTCAATGATACATCGCCTGTCCATGTGTGTGTGTGTGTGTGTTTTTTTTTTTACAAATGCATGTATAGATATGTTTTTGTATATGTAGGTATGCATTAGGTATATATGTCGCAGGCATCAGGTGATATACACACACAGCACTAGCCGCTTTAGCAGCATAGGTAAAAACTAAAAACTGTTTACTTCGGAAAATGCCACCAGGATGATGGAGGGAAAGATACTGAAAGTTTCGTGCTCTATCGGCTATCCCTAAGCGCTCGCCGCTCGGGAGCTATCATATACATTATACAGGCATTCGACGGGGCATCCCCCGGGCCAGCGAGGGTTAACCCTATTAGTGGCAGGCTCCTGGCTACCCCTATTAGTGGCAGGGGGGGGGGCTGTTTACGAACCCACCCACCCCCCTGATATCTCGAGATCTAACGGGCCGATTTTCAAAATTCAAACGGCATTCGATTTCGCTCAACGTGATCTACATTTCTAAAAAATAGAAATTAAAAAATGTCGATAGGGGGGTAGAGGGGGGTAAAAACGGGCAAATTGCAGATACATTTTAGACTGTTTATCACGGCCAGGTTTCTGAACCAATCTTAACGCAACTTTTCCCGATCGATAGAGAATGAACCAGGAATTCACGTGGATCCTAAAAATATGCATTTTCAAAAATCATAGGCGGATACAGATGTAATTACTAATTATTCCCCAATATTCAGCACCTGGACGCGCCTACGATTTTAGGGGAAAATATCGCTTGTAAGTGTTCACAAATACATGGTATGGTGCATTTGATTGCTTTCTGGCAATGTAACTACTACGAAACCGCTCATCAAATGGTACTGTACATTTCAGTATGAACCCCCCCCCCCCCCTTTTTGGACGCCTGGATCCGCCTATTATAGCAAAAACGTGTCAAAAGAGGATGCACAATAACTTTGTATATGTTATCACATGATACCTTTCATTCACTGTTCGCAAAACTGGTGCATACAGTTATAATACATCAGCATCGTGATCTTCGCCCAAATGACTCGCTTCACGAATAGGACCCCCCAATTCCCAGTGCTCTGGAGCCGCCCCTGGTAAATTTATGAACTTAAAATTTTCAGGGAATGTGCCCAATTTAGTTTTAGGAAAAGTCAGAAAACTTCAGCATCGTAGCTTCAGCGGTTTCGGAGATATTCCCCGAAAAACCTGAGGGGTGGATGAAAACAGCCCCCTGCCACCCCCCCCCCCCCTGCCACTAATAGGGTTAAATCGCGGCGCTGTGGGCGTGTGCTGTGTGTGCTGTGTGTTCTGTATGTGGCTGCAGTACAGGCGGTATAGTGATTGGGTGTGTGTGTGTGATTGGGTGTGTGTGACGGCGCGCAGAGTGTCCGCCCCGCGATGTCGGCACTGGCTGTCCGCCTGGCGCTGGTCATCGTGACAGCCAGCCTGCTCTACCTCCTGCTGGCGGCGGTCAGCAGTGTCGGCACCACCTGGACGGCTCAGCAGCAGCTCATCAGCGGTGAGCAGACAACACTCGCAGCCAGCGGGCTCTCAGGAATAGATTCACTCGTGTTCGAGTCGTAGATAGGTCAATCTCCGAGCTTTACATATAAAGGTCAGTTTCTGTCGAGTATTGTGAGGTGAATATCAGGATATTGGGAAGCAGCAAACTGAATTCTTACCGACCAATACCATGGAACATGACAACATTTTTAACCATAGACCACAATATATCTATACATAGGGGTCTATGATTTAAAGGGACCCTCCCACCTTGAAAAAAGGTTATGAATTGGCATGAAAGTGATGTCGCTCGGTTCAGAAAGAGCGAAAACGAATATCTACCAAATTTCACCGAAAAATACTCACCGGTTTTCAAGATATTAGACTTTTACTTTTGTTTACTTTTTGGGATCTCCGCTGTTCCTAGCGACTTTATTTGGAAGCAATAGTTTGGCAGCTGAAAGTGCGGCACTTGTTGCGCGCAAAGCAGCATATGCCACCGCGTGCTACAAAACGTTTTAGTCAAACATTTAAAAATCGTTAGATATCTGCGTTGACGTCATACATTCAGAGGGGTATTCCAATGCATTAGCCCCTCTGAATCAAAATGCTGCAATTTTGAAATTCAATATTTCCGATTTAAGGCATTTCTCGATGTTGTGAGTGCCGAAACCGGTAATTGTGAGCCAGGGACCCCATTTTGGCTATCTCAACTCAAATCTAATGTTAAGGTGGGAGGGTCCCTTTAACCCTCACCGGCCAAAGAGCTGCCACCCCCGGTTGTTTGCCGCGCTTGCTAGAAGCATGCTGGCAAAAGACAGCATGTTCCGAGTTGGCACCTTTGATTCAAGCGGGATCTTGTGACACCAACCGCATTCACACTTCACACATGGCACTGACCTATGAGCTCATAGGTCAGTAACCTCTGCACGGTCCTAAAATATCGCAACTTTGGTACGCCCTCAGCACCAGGGAGCCTTTTGCATGGGAACACGAAACTTACAGGGAAACATCCAGCTACTCACAACTTGTCTGTCTTAAAGGTCACCTGGGAGCACATCGGTCACGTGACATCAGTATTACGAGTAGATGTAAGCCAGTATGGGGAAATGGAAACTGCTGTTTTAAGGCCAGAAATAACATAAAACTATCTCAAGCACATGTCATACACTTCTTGCAAGGTCTTATGCTTCACTTTGGCATTATTGACCTTGTGAAACGTTATATAAATCATAGCGTCACAAAGTTCATTGCAGTTTCTCTTCAATACTACTTTCGATTAAATTGGGCTAGCGAATCGGAAAAGCCACCAATGGAAGATTTGCCGAATCAAATAACGTGCAGCATGACAACCTCTGACCAGTTTGCCTAAGTGACTTTTATTTGACCTTGAGCCGAGGTCACCACCCTAAGTTGACCTTAACAAGGCAAAAGATATAATTTTCGACGAGCCTGACAAACACAAACACGGTGATACCGAAATCGCTGCTCTGCGACTATTTTTGGCGGAGCAACTGACCAAAAACCTTACCCATGCTTACATACCTTGGGCCACTTGACCTGACCCATAGATAACATGAATCATGATTCATGTTATCTATGACCCCGTTTCCATGGGCATCACTGATCCGGATCAGCAAATTTAAATCGTGTATATTTTTTTAATTCTTCTTTACAGGATAAAGTGTATTAGGTATATACAAACAGTTAATCTCTTATTTTAATTTTCATAAAGTGTCTAACTATACAGGATTAGCTAATCCATTTTTACTGATCCGGATATGCCTGACCTCAAAGGTCGCCGGTTGAACTGAGGCCTTAAAATCAGGCACCAGTCGCTGCGTCTTGAAATGGTGAACATGTTCAATCTTTTTTTTTACGAGGCTCTAGCTCGATTAGGAACGAAACCACGAGGGGTCAACCCCACCCCCACCCCCTCGGGCAGTGCGCGTGCAGAAACCCGATACCTAGGTCCGGCGAGTGCTTACCGATTTTGATAGGCATGGAAAGTACAACTTTATACCGCATTGAGAGAATTTAATACCCTATAATACCCTAATACCCCCACATAGGTACCTACATACCAACGCATATGGCGTACATTCCATTTCCTTGAAACATGACAAGTGAGTACTGCTAACATCAATTATTTTCTCCAGATTGTTTCATTTCATCCATCGATTGATCAATTAATTCATTAGTGCATTCAGTCACTCATTCAGTCAGCCTGTCATTCATTAATTAACAGAAAGAAATGCACTGTCTCTATGTGATTGTAACAGAAGACTCGACTCACTGCTTGCCGATTTGCCTGTAATATTCCCAAAGTCAATAGCCAATAGCCACGACGCTATCAGGCACCGTGACCTTTAGTTGGATACCGTAAAAGATACCGTAAGACTAAATCAGCGGGTGGATCGAACCATGTCTAATGGTAGGTAGTACTGCCTGTCTGGCTTCTGTCGGACACTATTGACTCGTAGATGACGGCCTCACGTTATAGGCGATTCGAAACCGCGTGAGATTGCGTTTCTGACGAGTATCGCACCGCACACACCGAATTATGTATAGATGGCAGCTGCATCTACAAACTCCGTCAGTTTAGTTTTGTAAACACTTCAAGTACATTTATGCCGACAAGTGCGACATTTTTTACATCGGTGGGCTTATATCTTCAAAATATGAATCTGGCTAATTTTCTGAACACATGATTAAATTGTGGTCGATACGGAAACGCGTTGAAGTATTTTCTTTTTCAAGTGTATATGTATGTGAATAACTGTAAGGAACTGTGGGTGTTATGCAGGTACGATAAATCCGCCGCTCCAGGCGCTGCAACAGACGGCCTTCACTGCAGGATCCAGGGAAGAAGGGTGGGGGGGGGCATTTGTGGCAAGCGCCTGAAATCGACAAAAAAATGCGTTCTTATGGGGGGGAGGGGCGGGGAAGGGCAATAAAACGAAAACTATCAGACTTTTATGTAGAGAAGTTTATGTTTAGCTGCACAGCAGTGCGTAAGGAATCGAAATACGATTAATTTTTGGTATTTGGAGAAACTTTTTTGAGGGTATGCTTGCCCTCCCGCAGCGTTCAATACCACCTTTCTTGACCAGCCAGTGACGGCGAAAGTGACACAATGACACGAAACTGACATGTTTCAGTACCATTAGTTTAATTAATTTGACACCTCCTATAAGGAAAACGTCGTACCTAATAAAGGTTGGCCGTAATTGAGATCAGAGTACGGGCGAGATTAACCCGCGACCGCCTGGGGGGGGGGTCGGATCCGACCCCCCCCCTCCGTTTTTCTTGAATAACTCATGAACCGCTTGCGCTATCAACTTGAAACTTGGCATACCTTCTCCCCCATCAATTTGATGTCTCCTGTGCAATTTTCAAGAAAAATTTTCAAAAATTTTTGAGATATAGCGATTTAGTGATGTAACTACATGGCGTTTTCAGTCAAAAAATGGTAAATGTTTAAAAAATCGCCAAAAATCGAGGTTTTAAGGAAATTGCAAATTAAGGACATGAAAAGACGCAGCTCAACGAGTTCTTCAAAATGGCTATCTCGGATTTTCCATAAAATGCGTTTTTCACCCCTAAAAATTCAAAAAACTATATTTTTGGAAAACAGCTAATAAAATCCAAAATTTTGAGAATTTTCAAAAAACCGGAATATATGTTATAGAGCTCTATTAGAACATTAGATGTCCCAAATTTCAACTTTCTATCTTGATTTTTGACCCCCAAATTGTAAAAAATACCTCCAACATGCATAGGGCATGGTGACGTCATAAGCATTTTCGCGAATTAGAGGCACTTCTGAACATCGCATGTGAAAACAAATGGCACCACTAGATTCCTTGGACAAAGTTCGTCTAGAAAAGTGCATTTTTATGTCAAAAATAAAAAGTTGAAAAATTGACTTTTTTTCTTAGCCCTCGTTTAGCTATGTATGGTATAAACGTTTTTTTATGCTATCAATGCACAATTATCACCAGCACAGTGACTTGGGGTCACATATAACCATTACCATCGGATTTGGCGTGAAAAATAAGCCATAAAACATGTGTTGCACGCCCATGTAGCAGAAAGTGAAAACCGTGACCTTTCGTGACCTGACCTGACCTTGACCCGTACTTAGTATGACCCCTATACGCACATGGTACCTTCACTAGGTCTTTGAGGTCATTTGTGGTGAGTTTCGAGCAGCAGCTATCGATTCCGCTGTCCGTAAGCCTAATCATGCAAAACCCCTGAATTTGACCTTTGACCTGACCTTGACCCGAAAGTTGACCTCAATCTTAAAATTTTAAGAGTGCTTTGGGAAGGTCTCGTAGAGACCTTTCGAACGCCGCCTCGCGGGGCTCGATACGACCATTGGTTCTCGAGATAACAGGGGGGGTCGGATCCGACCCCCCCCCCAGGCTGTCGTGGGTACGGACTACGGAAATAGCCCAGGCGGTGCCGGGTTAAGCGGTAGGTTTTGCACATTTACATTTCCGGCTATATCTCAGAAACTAATCGATCTACGATAAAGCCATTTTACACGATCATGGCCGGCTTGTGAACCAACAAGTCGATCGCATCTCTAACACTTAACCCTCGCCGGCCGAGGGGGGGGGGGCGGGTGCCGCCCCCCCCCCCCCCCCCATAGGGTTTTTTTCGCGATAGCTCCGAACACGCTGGTGATAGAGAGCTGGAACTTGGCATACCTGACCTTTGATTCAAGCCGGATCTTTTGACGCCAACCGCATTTTTGGGTCAGGTCAGGTTACTGACCTATGACGTCATAAGTGAACCTCTGCACGGTCTTCAGATGTCGCAACTTCGCAACGCCCTCACTGCCAGAGGAGATGTCACAGGGAAATGAAGCTTGCAGGATCTAGTATCCATTATGAGTCTCACAACTTGTATATCTCGGATTTTTCCTAAAGGTCATATGAGGTCAGGTCATTTTCGTGACCTCACCATTATAAGTCAATGGGGAAAAATGAAAACTGCTATTCTGGCGCCGGGAACGATCTCCAACTATCTCAAGCACACAGAATCGTGATTTGATGCACTCCTTGCAAGGTTAGATGCGTCACTTTTGCAATGTTGACCTTGCGTGACGTCATTTATGACGTCATCAAGGTCATATTAGTTTTTCGTCAATAACTCTTGATCAAATTGAGCTAGCGAGTCGGGGAAGCCACCACCGGACTCAGGAGGACCTGCCGAATCGAATGATATGCGACATGACCTCTTTCAACCAACTTCGTGACCTGGGGGTGCTGACCTGACCTTGACCTGAGGTCAACACCCCAAGTTGACCTGACCCAAACAAAAAGTATATCATTCGACGCGCCTGAGCGAGGCGAACACGATGCTGCCAAAATCGCGGCTCTGCGGCCGTTTTTTGCGAAGTTATTCACCAAAAACTGAACCGTACCTTGGTGCACTTGACCTGACCTCTGAGGTCACCGGTTGACCTAGGACCTTAAAATCGGGTTTCAATCTCTGCGTCTCGTAATGGCGCACACGCTCGTTTTTTCCGCGACGCGCTAGCTCCACCAGGGGCGAAACGGCGAGGGGGGTCTTACCCGCCCCCCCCCCCCTCCCTCGGCCGGCGCGTATGTAGAAAACCAATAGGTCCGGCGAGGGTTAAAACCTTAAGACGACGAAGATATAGCCTGAAGTACACTAAATTTTATAGGTGCAAAACCTACCGCTAAATCCCGCGAGACCTGTACCTAGTCATGTCCGGTAGGTTAGACAGACTACACATCGATCTATTACAATGACCATTACAACAATGACCGTACCTATATGCCAACGTCCAGACGTTTTCCTATCAGACGTTAGGTAGGTCTATTCGAAACTTTATGATTGACAAGTATTCTTTGTTTTGTAACAATGTCTAGTGCCAACCTACTGTTTCAGCCCGCCGTTTCTTCCATTTGCGGAGGGTCGCTATGTCGGCCTACAAGCCGGCACCACCACCACCACCTTCGCGCGTCCACACGAGGACGACCGAGGCGCCGTTCCAGGCGGCGCCGATCCGGAGGACCGAGAGCGGTGAGCCGCGGCGGCCGTTCCGCCAGCCGACCAGGAGTGTGGTCGTGGTGCGCTGGGGCGACGACGTCCAGCTCGACTGCAGGGTCGAGTCCAGCAACCTCATCGTGAGTGAGGCGACGGGACGGCACGACATCCGATTCTGTGGGCGATTCTGGTACAGGCCAAGCCTATTTTTTTTTGTAGCTCGTGCTTATTCATCGATAATTTTACCACGTCCTTATCGTTTGATACAAGTTACGCTCACTTGTTGCTACCTTTGTATTTCAATTGACGTTATGCTTACCTATCATTTGAAAGCCAAGCGGTTTCCAAACGATAAAGGTTCAGTATCTGCCAGTCTCCGAAAGACACTATGCCCCAGAAGGGCAAATCAGGATGTCTGTGGTTGTGCACAGACAGTCTTGAAAGTACCACGCATCGGTGCGATGTATCCAGCCCGACCGAGGAAGGGCTGCTAAATTTGAGAGTCACCGATCCAATTGACCTGTTGGATGGTTGGGGATGTCCATTGGGTCAGTGACTCTCAAATTTAGCAGCCCTTCCTCAGTCGGGCTTGAGGGATCCACCGCACTGATGCGTGGTACTTTCAGGACTGACTGTACTTTCGCTCCTACTGATCTTACTAACATTGCTGGACGGATTGCCCGCGGCGCAGGTGGCCTGGTTCAAGAACGGAGACACCTTCATCGCCATTGAGAACAGGACATTCATAGATGACAGTCGAATCGAGGCCCATGTCTCTGAGGATGTGAGGACAATTTATCATTTATTTACCTTCGGAGTGTGTGCTTTGGTCTTTGTACCTAACTGTTTCCACAATCCATACAAAAAGACAAGAATCTAGATTGCAGAATGTCACATGCGCAAAGATTGTGTATGTATCTGTGTGCACTGTATGTACAAAGGGTGTTCGTTTTTTCGTGACATTCTGTGGGCATGCACATTGCACACATACGCGCACATCTTACGCACACGCGCTTTCAAATAACAGGTTTTCTTTCTTTCTTTGAGCCGCAGTAGCCCATATTCTATGAAGCTAAGTACATATGTAGTTAAACGTGCTTTCGAACAGCAGCTAGGTTGCAACAGCGGCTCATCGGCGGCACCTTGCGACAGGGTTTGAACTGGGCTCTACGGATCCGCCGTGTGGGGATGGACGACGCTGCTCTGTATACGTGTCACATGGCGCTAGCACCAGATGACGTCATTGAAGTCGAGCTGGACGTAATTCGTGAGTATAGTTCAGTGGCGGCGGAACACCTTCAATTAGGGGGGGGGGAGCACTGCCGATTTTTTGTCCCATTCTTTCCATGTAACGCAAATAGGGTTAATGTTAAAATGGCAAAATTAAACGGGGCACCGGGGCATCGCGCCCCCTTTGATTTACGCACTTTAACATTAGCCCTACGGGCGTTGCATGGAAAGAATTGGACCAAAAGTTGGCAGTGCCCCCCCCCCCTAATTGAAGGTGTTCCGCCGCCAGTGATACGCAGGCGGTGAAATGCATGACCTTTCAAGAAGCGATGAATAGTTAACTCGTTTAGGTACCAGCTGCAAGTGCACACACTGAAAACAAGTTGAAAGAACGTAATGCAAAAGCATCTTAAAATATTCCACACTTAGGTTTTTTGGGTATTAGGGTAAACTGGCTTAGAGGCGAAGCAGAACGTCTGGTTCATGAAGAACACACACAGTGTTTCACATAGACCGAAGACACGTGCTGCTTCTTCGCGCGCAGTCTTAGCGGCCCCAGGGGGCTTCAACTCGACCAACACCGGTTCTTCTTCGTTCTCCCTAGTCACGTGATATACGTCACACAAAGCGCGCGAAAGATAAACCCTTTGGAGGTTTTGCACGAACTAGCATCGGGTTTAAGAAGAAGGGGTTGTGGTTTAATCAGTGTAATGGCTTTCATCAAGACCACGCCCGCGGTACCACGTTCTAGCGTCCACCGGAAGCGATCGCCATTTTTCGATCGCGTTGGATCACGCTTTGTGCAGTGACGAGCGGCTGGTGCAAGATTGGGTGAATGGCAAGTAATCGAATATTGAAGAACTGAAATAAGGTTAATTTTTGGCTTGTCAAGTGTTGTGTATTATTTATATTACTTGTGATTGACAATGATAAGCAATATCACAGCGCTCTTCAAATGCATGGATGAATGCATTGGATGAAGAAAATTCATATGCAAGACCTATCAATGCAGTAAGTATCTATATGTTGTATAAATGCCCATAGCTTAAATTATGCATGTGGTATTTAGACAAATTTTCCAAATGAAGATAAATCAGGAATAGAATCAGCTTCAAGCTTGCCATTTTGGGGTCAACTGATTTAGGTATAGGTAAATTTGGCTGATTTTAATAAACATATGTTCTTGCTAATTAGTGCAATATTTTATCTAGCTGCACTTTATATGTTAAGTGCATTAGGTATTTTATTTTTGGAGTAGGCTCATGGTCTCTGAAGTCAATCTAAGTTTCTTTAACTCCCTGCCTGTTGAATAACGCATCCGCCCGACTCTTCATTCTAGGGGACGAGGCCATCTCCACTCTGATTGAGGCCCTGGAGTCTGAGGAGAGCGTCCTGGCGCGCGGAGACGTCGACTTCGTCGAAAACGCTGGCTTGAAGCTGGTGGTGGAAGGAGAAACTGTATGTGATTTGGGAGAATGCGATATCGCCACCCGGCTGCTGACATGGGCGATAGCGCATACTGTGTTTGGGAAAACATCCACTTGCTAAAGCTAAAAATGTGTTCATATTTGTACAGAAAGCAACCCTGAGCGTGAAGGAATCAACCTGAATAATTAAACATGCCCGAAAGGCTCTGGAGTTCTTTGGCTTGGATGTGTAAGTTAAGTGACACGGCCGAGGGGAAAGCGTTCCTGCAGGCTGATCGCAGGCTGAATGCGGGCTGGTTGCGGGCTGATCGCATGGGCGGGTTGCGGGCTTGTTCCTGACTGGAGACTTGCAGGCTGATTGCTCAGAGTAAAGAGGAAGGTAATACATTTTAAGGTGTATCAAATACTGTCTTTGCGCAGCAGATGTGACGCACTGTAAAAAAAGTTTAGCACCATAGAGGTACTTTTCAATTGACTAATTTTCAGTACCCTGGCGGTGCTAAGCTAAGCATTTTATTCGTACTTAACTGAGATTTAGTTTAGTATCAAGGTGCTAATATAAGTACCCATATTTGTTTAGCACCCGTGTACTAAATGTAGTACCCTACACCTGCTAGACCAATTTTCAGTACCCTAGCGGTGCTAAACTTTAAAAGGTGCTAAGAATAGCATGCAGTTAGTACCTTCCGTACTCACATATGAACCGTTTTAGCGCTATTGTTACCCCACGACAAGTAGAATAATGCTAACGAAAGCATTGGGGCTGAAAGTAGAATATCTATACTAGTTAAAGCTGCTGCATGAAAAGTTCGCAAAAACTGCTTTCTTTAGCATCACATGCTTTCACTAGTTACTGCAAAAAAGACTGATCAATTACCAAAAAGGAAATTGTGTAAGGCCGAAAAGACGTGCAAAAAAGGTTATATCCTAGATAAGTGATAACTACAAGTCTCAATGATTGTGTTTTGCATTCTGCAATATTCCGGTGTAAGTGCATCTTTCAAGCATCCAACACATTATAAAATTAAGAAATAATAATGGAACATTTATTAACACTTCATATCATCTGCATGAAAAACAAAAGTAAATATATACACAAACAAACGCACGGGAAATAACGAAAGGTCGCTCATATACCTGCACACTCGCAGTGACCGACGATTAACGCGAGATCGACTGGGGGAGGCGGGGGGGGGGGGGTCGTTGAACCGACGTTCCGTTCATGGCCATAAGTTCGACCTCATCCACGACCAGACGGCGTTTAGTGATAGACGGAACCGGAGACCCCGTGTTGTTGTCGTAGTTGTCCTCCATTGTAAGTGGTAGTCGACGGAAGAACTGACCAGGCCCCATTCCTGGAGCAAAAAAAAACTGGATCAGTTCCAAGATTTTTTTTTTCTGTTGGGAGCTATTTTCGCAAACAACACAACTTTCCTTCAGACCAAGAAGCGCGGTTTGCCAAAGTCGGAATATGAAGCACTTAAACAATATAAGATAATGTCAAAAGATACAACGTGTCAGACTCACCAAAGTCGATCAACGTCGGTGTCGGTGGCATGTGTCGGTGGCAAATGCTCATGTACCACCCGGCCCCGGAGCACTTCACTTCACTTCACTGCACTGCTGCACTGCACTTCCCTCCACCTCACTGCCTCCCGGAGCAGGGGCACGCACTCCCATGCCACGCACGACGGATTCCACCGATAATAGCTGATTTAAGCTATCATTCCAGAGCTATCACTCGGTGGCATGTGCCCGGGCCCCGGAGCACTTCACTTCACTTCATTTCACTTCATATACCGGAGCACGTGCACACACTCCCACCACGACCAACGGACTCCACTAAAATGGCGCAACACGTGGCCGGAAACAGCTGGCACGCGCATGCGCATATCGCTCTGCGCCGTCAAAACGTGCTAAAGGGCTGGTGATAAGATTCCCAGAGATTTGTAAAGCAGGCCTTAGCTACTTTCTTTGGCGCCAATTTCAAATTTGTTTCCTCTGTAAGCATGTCCGGTTCTATTGTGATACTAACGTAAGCACCATATTCAGCATTACCAACTTCTAAAACACTCAAAATGGTTCTAATTAGAAATCCAGCTTGAAAGAGCACTCACTGATGGACTGGGTACTAGCAGAAGTAGACGTTAAGCTCAGTAGAAGAATAGATGATCTAAACTTATAATATTTGATGGGAATGTTAGCTATCATTAGCACAGTATTAGCACCATGCTTCTTTGTAAATACGTCGTAGGGTTCTTTTGACGCTAAAAGGTGCTACGAATAGCAGCCGTTAGTACCCCAAATGCTAAACTTTTTTTACAGTGCGGCGCAGGTCGATAGCCATGCATGGGAGGTTCAATAGACGAATGAACGGGGATTTTGCGGTATTGCAATAGAACTGAAAGGGTTCTACAACCGATATTCAGAACACAGGGTGGTTTCCCTATAAACCTCAGGGACTTCTTCACAGACCCTTTGGGGTTCTTATCTAGGTGCTAAGAACGCTCTTATTATAAACCCTAAACCTCATAAGAGTCTTTGGAAGAATCGTGTGGGTTCTTTTGATGAGAATGCAAAGCCGTCTACGTGAAGAACCATGGGGGTTCTGAAAAACGGTGGCATAACATTTTACCCCACAGGGGTCTAAATACCCCTGTACGTTCTTAACGTTCTTCCAAAGTGTTTTCAGTGCAGTTAGATTTTCAGATACCTATTTACCTAAAATACTTTTGCAACATTCTCAAGCATAAACAAAAATTTGCAGCTGAGTTCATTGCCAATGAGTAGACAGGTAGGCGCAGGTAACGTGAAAGGTCACATCATTTTTTACAGCCTTACGTACCCTTGGAGTTTCCTTGCTGATCAAATAATTGTAACAGAGTTTCTCTCAGCTTCCATTTCGACTTCGAGCCCATGCTGTCGTTCCTCTGTGCCTGCAGCCGCGATCGGAGACTGCGGAGAGCTCCCACCGTTCAGAGTGAGCAGTATATTAGGGGACATCCTCCTACCCGACTTCGAGACAACTGCGGACATGTGTCCTGACGAGGGCCAGATACGGAGCTGCTGATCGGCCCAGTCTCTCTCTCTCTCTCTCTCTCTCTCTCTCTCTCTCTCTCTCTCTCTCTCTCTCTCTCTCTCTCTCTCTCTCTCTTTCTTTTTCTCTCTCTCTCTCTTTCTCTCTCTCTCTCTCCCTCTCTCTCTCTCTCTCTCTCTCTCTCTCTCTCTCTCTCTCTCATCCGCAAAACGTTACAATGCCGGACCGGGTGCGCAACAACTGGCTGAAGCTGCTGGACAAGAAGACACAGACTGCCGTGTGCGTCATGGACTCCGTCACTGCCGCCTTGCTGGAGAAGAACATAGAGGAGGCCGGGGAACATGGCGACGTCGTGATCGGAAGGTTCTTGGACGTCAGTGCCGAGCCGTACACGGACGGCGTGAAGCGTCTGGCGCTGCCCAACTGGACGATCGAGTACTGCCGGCTCGCTGACTTCACACTGATCGCCACGCACGAGTTCGTGAACCCGGTGCTGCTGAAGACGTTCATCAAGGACCTGACCCGGACGAACCGGCAGTGTACGACATCACGAACGGCAGCAGAACGGTAACGCGCGATCCCAGCCAGTCGTCCTACCTGTCTTACGCGTCCTTCCAGGCAGCGAGGTACCCGAGAACGCCTCCGGGCCGGCCTTCCTCGTGTCTCGCGCTGCAGTCTGTGTGCTGGCCGAGGCCGCCACCGAGACGTACGCCATCACTCGCTACGACATCCTACTCACTGGTATCGCAGCTGAAAGGCCCGGCGTCGAACGGGTTCACACTTCACAAGCAGCAGCTCTTCCAGTGGCGGATCCAGGGGGGGGGGCAAAATGGGCATTTGCCCCCCCAAACGGCATAATTTTAACATTACGCCTATGTACGAGGCATGGAAAGAATCGATAAATTGTTATGGTTTGCCCCCCCCCCCCCAAAATAAACTCTGTGCTGGATCCGTCTCTGAGCTCTTCAAGGCCAGTCAGAGCATCGAAGCATGTGACTATGAGACGGGCGCTGTCGGTAACTCGTGGGGTGAGTCGAAAAGATCGATTTAGTAACAAATTGTACGTTATAAGGGTGACGAAGAATGGTGAACAGACTTTGTCAAAGATGTCGGCTTCCAGCAATATTTTCATTTTGCCTGGTTATGATAACTCTCGAAACAAGAAGTTCCCTGACAATTCAATTGAAGTTTGTGGTGATGTGATTGCTGTTATATAGGTAGGTAGGCCAATGGCAGCACGCCTCTTTAGTGTCCTGGGCAGCACCTACCAAGCACGCTATTGTTACTTTATTGGGTATTGCTGTGCGTTATTTATGAATAAATATTCGATCATCATCATCATCATTTATTTCGTTTGGAACTCCATATTCACGGCTATTCTGTCCAAGTGTCAATACATAAATACATATACGCTGAATGGTAAAGATGTTAAAGGAAAAAAAGTACAGCACGTATGACGTGGTATCACACATTATAAGAGCCTAAAGCGCCTTCCTAAAGCGCCTGCGACACCCAGCAGACGTTTTACTGTCACGCACATCCAGGGCCAGTGAGTTCCAGCGTGCAACGGCGCGGTACCGGAAGAACCGCCGCGCCTCGGTGCGGGGTTTCGGCAGCTGGAGCAGGTCGCTCTCAGTGGCACGAGTCTCTACTAGAGACGTCACTGCGGCGCTCGAGCCGCTCCGAGAGACACCTCGGCGCACTGGTATTGTTAACCAAGTAGTGAACAACACCGCAGTCACTCTCCGCCACAAGCTCGTCTATCTGGGGCCACCCGAGCTCCTCCAACAGCGGAGTCACGTGTGCTGAGCGGCGCGCTCCCATAACCACCTGTGCGCAGTGATTAATAACTCGCTGCACGCGGCGACGCTGAACAACGCCACAGCCCGACCAGACCGACAAACAGTAGCGGATGTGGGGGAAGATCAGCATCTCAACGATCAGTTTCTTCACTTCTTTCGGTAAGCATCGCGAAGATTTACACAGTCCTCCTAGTGAGGCGTAGCATCGGCGAATCACCTCCGTCACATGTGACTCAAAGGTCAAGCCAGAGTCGACAATTACACCCAATACCTTAATGCTAGCGGAAGTTTGAATAACATCATCTCCAAACAGTACATTAAAATCAAAGTCAAGCTGCCTCCTACGTGATTTTACAACTAACAGTTCGGTCTTTTTGGGGTTGATTTTTAGGCAGTTTTGAACAAACCAATGACTCGCAATGTCTAAAGTACATTCGGTATCTGTCTTGAGCTCTAAAATTCGCTTCGGTGATGCTAGATGTAAAAACTGAACGTCATCGGCGTACATCACTATTTTGGAGTCGACATAGGACGCAAGATCGTTTGAAAATAGCAAAAATAAGATCGGTCCCAAAAGTGATCCCTGTATCACGCCGTGGGTGATTGGCTTCACCTCCTCACCACCCCGCACCATCTGGCACCTGTCACTCAACCAGTCACGGAACCAGTGTGCGCTAATACCGTACCAGCCCAGCTTTTCCAGGAGCCGGGGATGCTGGACACTGTCAAAAGCCTTGCTAGTGTCGGCGGTCGTGAGAGAACCGATGAGACCGTCATCCAGACCATCCATGAGAAAACTGACAGTATCCAGCATCGCCGACTCCGTGGATCGGCCGGGCCGGAAGCCGTGCTGCACCTCGGAGAGAATATTGTGCGTGAGCAGGTAAGTCATCAGCTGACCGCAAACAACACTCTCAGCGACCTTAGCGACAGTTGACAGGAGCGACAGCGGACGATAGTTAGACGGGTCATCCATCGAGCCAGACTTATGCAACGGTATGACATGAGCCACTTTCCAGTCGGCGGGTAACTTTCCAGACACCAGCGACGAGTTAATGACCTTTAACAAATGCGGGCCTATCACTGGGAAAGTCATGCGCAGCATACCTATCGTGATACCGTCACCACCACTCGCATTAGACGCTGACATACGTTTCACGGCAGCTGACAGCTCTGACAGTGTCACGGGGTGGACGCGGAAAGCGCCGCTGACCACGCGAGGCGGCCGCGGCGGCAGCGGCTCGGTCACGCGCTGCGCCTCCTCCAGCGCGGCGGCCACGCTCGGGCCGACCGACGCGAAGTACTCGTTTAGTCTGTCAGCCCAGCGAGGGCCACTCGGAGATGAAGACGCAGAAGACGCTCCGGCTCTAGGTGAGATGAGGAAGCGTCTGATGTCCTTCCACGTGGTACGGCGCGACCGGCGGTAAGTTTAGTTTATAGATAAATAATGGTGACAAAAGACACCTGTCTGCTGTTGTGTGTCTTTATTCGTGATATGTTATAAACACATGTCTGATGTCCACTAGATACTCACAGTTCGGCTTTAAATTTCACTCGTCATAGGTCTCCGACGAAATGGCACGTAGGCTCAGCCATGAGCCATCCTACTCACGGATACACACTGCAGTTCACCACAAAATAGCAATCAAGATCCAACGAAGTAAGGTTGCGGAGTCGGGTCGGAGTCGGCCCGAGTCGATACTTATGCCAGGAGTCGGAGTCGGAGTCGCCAAAATCTTACCGACTTCGACTCCGGAGTTGGAGTCAGAGTCCGCTGCACTGAAAACTAAAATGATTCCGGGGGGGGGGGGGGGTGATATTAGGAGAATGGTCTAAAACGAAACCCCAATTATTCCCGTAATATACTTCAAGTAGCACCTTTTTGGCCTTAGATACCCCCAATATCCCAACATTATTACCCTAATATGCCTGTTGGATGGCTAAGTGGAATCAAAATGATTATCTGGTTATGCCTCCATTATTCTTACGAAATGCCTAGTGTATTCTCCCTGATTCTCCTCTATGCCCCTTTGATGCCCCCTAGCATAGTTCGGATGCTCCGTCTAAACCCGATCTATGCTCCTTTGATGCTCTCTATATACCCCATTGATGCTCCTTTGATGCTTGCTATAAACCCGATCTATGCTCCTTTGATGCTCTCTATATACCCCATTGATGCTCCTTTGATGCTTGCTATAAACCCCATTGATGCTCCTTTGATGCTCTCTATATACCCCATTGATGCTCCTTTGATGCTCTCTACATACCCCATTGATGCTCTCTATATACCCCATTGATGCTGATTTGATGCTCTCTATACACCACATTGATGCTCCTTTGATGCTCTCTATATACCCCATTGATGCTGTCATTTACATAAGGTGCAGAAGATCCTGAATTTTGGTGCTAGGGTCGTCTCCGGAGCGCGGGTTTCTGAACATATTTCACCGGTGTTGAGAGCCCTCGGCTGGCATGACATTGCTGATCTTGTCGTCCACCGTGACTGCTCCACTGTGTTCAGGGCGCTGAGTGACCCTTGCGCTCCGGAGGCGATCCGCTCCCTATTCACTCGGCGAGCCGCTGTGTCGCAGCGCTCAACGCGGGCAACGTGTGCCGGTGTACTGGAGCTGCCGGCTTACCGGCTGTCTATGTCGCGCCGGGCCTTGTCGTACCGAGCGGCCTCGTCCTGGAATCGCCTGCCGCCTGCCACCACCGGCTCTCGAACTAGAGCGGAGTTTTTACGACTTTTAACCTCGACATATATGTGACTAGCCAAACCAATGGTTTTGGTTAGACGACTAGCGTTTTTGGTATTTTAGTACAATGTGTATGCGTGTGTGTGCTTGTGTTTTATATGTTTTTACTATTGTCATTGACTAGAAGCTGACACTAATCCATCATTGGAATGCTTCGCTAATACAATATACAATACAATGCTTCGTTCCGCAGTGGCGGATCAAGGGATGGGTTCGCGGGGTCATGCTATTCCTCGTGAGATCCCCATGAGATACCTAGCGCACTGATTTCTCTACCCACACAAAGGTAAGAGACGCCATTTATGTAACAACCTTCGTCCTTCCTCTGAATTTCCTGGATCCGCCCATGCCATCGACGCTCAGCCACACCAACAGCAACCACGATACGCTTGTGTGTATAAGAAAAACGTACTGTATTGATTGGAAAGACAACTGCCTCTGCATTCATTTCAAAATCACAGCTTCCTAGTTGCCGACATTCAATTTGTACTATCCATATTAAACATACGTCACGCACACGCCTCATATAACAAATGCCATATCACATGTTGAGATCCAGGCTGTAAAAAAACACATGACACACGAGAAGCGCCGCTGGCTCTTCTACG